CATTACCGTTGCACCAACCAAAAGAGCTGTTGCAGCAAAGCTGGCAGGATTAATTTTCATATTATTATAATAGGTGATTATAGCTGTAAAAACTTTCTAAAAAATGTTGTGGATATCCGAACTAAATCGGGACAGTCAAGTAGTGGTACCTGGTGAGAGCGGTGGTGAATATTAAGGTTACATGCAAACAAAGAAGTTTTCAATTAGGTGAATAATTACAACCAGATCGAGGGCTCTATATGAAACAGTTAAATTACTAAATTTTACAGATAATTTGAGTTCATATCCATATGAACAACCAAGTTCTACTAACTGAATAACTAACAGACTTCATGGAGCTGAGCCCTTCTTGAGAACCCGCCAAATGTGCAACTATTCAAGAACTTCCCAGTATTTTATACAACCCGAATGTTCATTACCGTGTTCAAAAGAGCCTTCCGCTGGTCCCTATTTTGGGCCAGATAAATTCAGTCCATACCACTCCATTCCATTTTTCTAAACTCAATTTTAATATTATCCACCCACCTACGCCTTGGTCTTCCTAGTGGTCTCTTTACTTCAGGCTTTACCACCAATATCCTATATGCATTCATCTTCTCGTTCGTGTTATATACCCTGCCCATCTCATCCTGATTAAATCGAGCATTCTAATTATACTTGACATCCATGTTCTGCACTGTTCGAAATAGTTCATATCGTGCTATTCATGTTTCGACTTATGAAAGATGCTAAGTTTAAGTATCATGCTTCAGTAATCATCGTAAATACTGCTATATTCCTACACAGATTGGCCCCAACTTGGATGCGGTAAAGTAACTCTTCACACTTGTACTATGCTGCTCTGTCTTGTTTCAAACTTGGCCGAATAAGTAAGAAGGGCCTGAGTTGCCCCAAACTTTGACTGTTGGAGAGAAACTCTTGTAGAACAAGAGTCTTCCTGATTCTGTTTTAGTTTCAACTTCTCTAAACCTCCTTTTCCTTCCCTTGGTTCTCCTGGGTCGCCTTGTACTCGCTTGCATACATCTCGCAACACTTTAGAAGTCATACGTAACATCACATGGTAACTACAGTTAACCGGAGTGTATTTAGTGAGTTATGTTATCAAATTTGATTAGTGTAATGCACAATGAACACTTCTAGAAGAGGGTGGCCACCAAGACATCTAACATTTCATTGTTATCGTTGTAATGAACTCAACAATGGACTAAGTTGATTTTTCATTCTTAAAAAGACGACAAGCCGATCACGGTAGCCGAGCGGTCTAAGGCATGTACTGTCTTCGCTCGCTTGGAAACCGGGATCGTGGGTTCGAATCCCACTCAGGGCATGGATGTTTAGTTTGTGTGTGTACGTTTTTCTGTGTTTATGTACAGGTAGAGGCCTTGCGACGAGCTGATCACCCGCCCAAGGAGTTCTACCGAATGTGTAAGGTCTATAAAAACCGAAGTGCACGGAGAAGTTCATGGAGGTAGGCCTAGGCACACTGGGGCTGTAGTGCCAAGGAAAAAAAAAAAAGAAGATGACAATCCCTTAGTTGGTCGAGATATTTCTTGCCTTTTATGGAACGCTAAAATTTATTATATTCTTTAGAAAGCCCACCACTGGAGCCTACCCAGATGGAATTTAAACCTGTCAAAGATTAATGCCCTAATGCTTTGAAGTAAATTAATATTTAGACTCCAACCTATCCCAGAAGAACTGATAAATTAACTAGNCCAAAATGGGCTATCCTAGAGCAAACGTTTCCTATTCAACAAAACTTCGCCGACGACCGGCAGTCGCTCAGTCGGTATAGTTTGCTTGCGGACTGCAGGCCAGCGGAGTGTTCTAAATTGCATCACCTTACCACACTGAAGCATAACCTTAAATGCGAGGAAAATAATAAAATTGGTCTTAGGTTCTTAGAGTTCTTTGGGTGTTGATTGGACCCAACTGTATGAGGCTATTGTATAGCTGAAACGGTTAGCCTCTGGTTTCCCATTGCCGAGGCCAAGTGGGATTTGTGGCAGACAAAGTGGCGCTGGGGTAGGTTTTCTCCAAATACTTCGGTTTCCCCTGCCAATCTTCATTCCACCAAATTCTCCATCATCATAATCACCCAGGGCAAGCTACAATAGGCCAATCAGTGGCCGCCGTGCCGAGGGGACCCAGCTGGGCTCCACCCCCCACTAAGCGAATTTAAAAAAAAATAATAGTCTGTAACACGCATTACTTTTATTCAAAGATATCTGGTTCGAAACTCGGGTTAGGCGCAGGATATTGCGATTTAAGTTTCTCGTTTTTATCATTATCCGATAGAAAATATCCCGGAAAGAGACAAAAATCACCGTCTTTCAATCATTTCCAATTAATCTTTCATGATCACCTTCTCATCCAATACTAAATCCAGATGATACAGCGTCTTTAAATAATGTACGGATATATCAGTTGGTACAGCCACGGACTATGGATGTTTGATTCGCGGCAGCAAATGTTTCTCTTCCTCACAGTTTCCAGACCGACATTGAGGCCCTCTCAGTCTCCAATCTAACGGGTACTGTGGGCTCTATTCACGGGGGTTATACGGTCGGCGCGTGAAACTGACCGCTCACTACCGTTTAGTGCTGAGGTCAAATAAAGTGGAGCTATACCTCCACTTTCAATAAGTACTCGTCGCATAGTGTTTAATTAATCAAGCAAAGGGACAAATTTACCGTTACTAATCAACTACGAGTTACATTCGTTTAGTAACAGTGAGTGTGGATATCCCTAAGTGCTGTCGTGTCGTCTGTCCCTAAGCCAGAAGGAGCCGTCCAGTTCTCACACTTCTTGCTGCTTGCTGCTACCTGGGGTAGGAAGTGCCATATGTCGAGATGCGGTCTGTCTCCCGTCTTGTTGACAACACAGTGGCCGAGCACTGAGGAAGTCGTACATTTAAACTTTCACCAGCTCATCATCACCAGCCGCCTGCATCAATCACCCTTCTTCAGATCTGTAACCACCAGGTTCCTCGTCTGTTTTTCTGTCCTCCTGTAGCGGAGACCGTTTCCACGAGTTCGCTATTAGTTTTCTTTTTTCCAATAGCTCTTCCAGCCCACTCAGGGCCCTGGCCTCTTATTCAGTTCCGTAATCATTTTTGACAGACGGTAGGACTTCTTGGGGGAGTGATTAGCCCTTCGTAATGCTGCTACTTAAACACAGGACAACGCTAACACAGAATAAAGGCATACACACATCAAACACCCATGCCCTGAGTGGGATTCGAATCCACGATCCTAGCGTCCGAGCGAGCGAAAACAGCCCATGCCTTAGACGGCGCGGCAACTGTAATCGGCTAGTTAGTTATTAGTACGCAGTCAAAACTAAATGCAAAATATGATGGGCAGTTTTTCTGCCAGATTGACAACATATTTCAGCTCGTAGTCATTAAACGGAGTTTGATGAACTATAGTTACGTATGAACCAACGTTCAATAGCATCATAAATTAAATGCCTAAATTAAATCTATTAAGTGTTATTATGCTGCCATGTGTAGGGGTGTGTGCGTGACTTATAAGGCGTGTTCTGGATTGGATGATTGGATTTATTGACACCTTAACACATCACTCGGAACTGATCTGATCTGATCAGTACTCTGTCAGACGACAGGTCCACAGTCTCTTCCAAAACAGTTCCTCCACTTAATGCGATCTTCTGTTTTTGGAAAGAGACTATCCAGGAAAAGTGATAGTACNGATTGACAACATATTTCAGCTCGTAGTCATTAAACGGAGTTTGATGAACTATAGTTACGTATGAACCAACGTTCAATAGCATCATAAATTAAATGCCTAAATTAAATCTATTAAGTGTTATTATGCTGCCATGTGTAGGGGTGTGTGTGTGCGTGACTTATAAGGCGTGTTCTGGATTGGATGACTGGATTTATTGACACCTTATGCACATCACTCANCCTTGGCATACTCAAACCCCCTCACCACGATAAGGTGGATAGCACACCAACGAGGGGGCACTCGGAACAACAGGCAATTATAGCGCTACCATTATTTCCACGCTTTACAGTTCACCGTTAAACGCCCACTAGGGTTCTTAGTCTCTATTAGTAGCATCCTGGCAACGGATTTATGACAGTCTCAGTGTCACTTCAAATCAAGCATGAAGCTTCCTTTCACAGCCTCATTTCCTTCTTGCCGTTATTCTGCAGCTGTCAATTCCGAAGACTCGACTCAAGTCAACCCCTCTGCTCCCAAGGTCATAGGCTGACAGGCTGGCGTCCCGAAACTCGACTCTTCGCTTCTCGACTGCTCACTCCACTGGACTACTCACTGTTCTGTTCTGCAGAACACTTCCTTATAGCCACTTTGCACGGACCCCACGAAAAGCACAACCTATATTGCTAAGGAGATGTATTTACTGATCCATTGCCTAGCAATACGCGTCGTATTGTTGAGCGAGTTTGCTTGCAATGGGTATACACGTCATAATATTTTATTATTAGAATGGAAGAGGGTACAAGGTAGCGTAGCTGGTTGAGGCACTTTGCTACAAACCGGAAGTTCCAGGGTTCGATTCCCGAAGAGGTCACTGAATTTTCTAATTGACCTAATCCTTCCAGCTGCAATATGGCCCCGTGGTCGACTCAGCCCCCAACAGAAATGAGTACCGGAAATCTTCCTGGAGTGTAAAGCGCGACCGGCCGGCGCGTAAGGCTGACAACCGCACCGCCATCTGTGAGCCGATTGTTTAGAAAATTTGGGAGACTCGACGTCTCACAACCCCATGGACTTCCACGGCCTATTACAGGGATAGGTTTACCTTTCTTTTAATCAGGTACGGACATGAAGTTTGAAAAATTTTAGAAGATATCTAAGAAAAACGTCAACGTTTCAGAAGAAAAAAAAATTGTATAAAATGATGGCTGCTCGTTTCGGACTATAACTATGAATATTAGATAATGGGTAGATCCTAAAAGAGAAGGAATCAGCTCAGATTAAATTGCTAAGAGCAGTAGCTGGACTTACGTAAGAGTATAAGAGAATGTCCTCCAGTTTGCGCGTTTGGTGGCTGGCTTACTCCTCTCTGTAACATGAGAGAGAAATCGATCATGGTATGAAACGTTATACAAAGGCTCACACAAATATACATACACAACTGAATAGATCTTATGCAACCGGAATTGGACTGTACAAAGGAGAAGTGATACGAACATGCGTTAAAAGTGAGAGAAGAAAACTACCTAAAATATTGTTAAACTATAAACCAAAGGCAGAGAGAAAATGACAACAAAAAATATCTTCAAGCTAAAAGAGGCCAGAAGCCCTACGCTTTGAAATACAAGAATATATAAATATCAAAACTACCCTTCCTATTTCATTTTAGCCCTCAGCTGTCCATCACATTCCTTACTTTACGCGTGGCCGCGCCATAGCTCAAGCGGTTAGTCGCTGGCTTCCCACCGCGGCCGCCCGGGTTCGATTCCTGGTCTGGTCAAGTGGGATTTGTGGTAGACGAAGTGGCGCTGGGGCACGTTTTCTCCGAGTACTTCGGTTTCCCCTGCCACTCTTCATTCCACCAATTGCTCCACAATCACCCTCACCTATCATCTGGGGCTGGTACAATAGGCCAGAAGTGGCCACAGTACAGTACTTCCTTTTCACTACTGGGAACACGTGCGGCTGGAGCTATGCCACGTCGACAAACGCACATGCACCTTCGAGATGCGCGAGTTTCAGTACTGTATCTTGGCGCATACTGTACTTTTAATGGCGCGTATAATCTTGCGGCAGAATTTTGATTCCCAAGTCAAAGATGTAGCTGAATGGAACACAGCGGAGATTCTGCAGGGTGTTAATGTGGAATCGATGACTCGAGGAGATCCTAAGATGAGGCCTAAGGAACGACATACGAGTCCGTCCGTCCGTGTGTCCACTCTTCCAACAAGAATTGTGTCCGTGGCAACAGGCACTCTTCCAGATCAGCAGACTGCGAGCGCTAGACTTAACCATAGCCTGTAATGCAGTCTCGCAGCCAATCGGAGTAAGTACAAAAGTAAAGTAAAGCTATCCCTGTAAGAGGCCGTGAAGGCCCGTAGGGTTGTGAGACGTTGAGGGTCCCACATTATCTAGACAATCGGCTCAAAGATGGAGGTAAGGTTGTCAGCCTTACGCGTCGACCGCGCTTTACTCCCCAGGAAAATTATTTAATTAATTCCTAGTACTCATTTCTGTTAGAGACCGAGTCGACCCCAGGGCCATAAAGAGGCTGGAAGGATCAGGCCATTTGAAAAAATCCAATGACCTCATCGGGACTTGAACTCGCGACCTTCTGGCTTGTATCATAGCCCCTCAACCAACTACACTACCAGGTGTCCCCAGCCAGTCGGAGAAGGCTATTTAAAAAGGCAGCTTTGTATACCGTCATTTGAGAACAAGGAATAGCCCTGAAATGTTAGGTAAAAATTTGGAAAGAAGCATCTTGTTCTCGTTCACGGAAATATTCTGATATATTTTTGAGAGACTGAAGAGAACCACGCGGTTGGCGAGACACTGCTGCACATCTTTTTCTTAACTTTAACACTACCCAGAACATCAATGAACGTCAGGTAAGTCACGTCCTGGCTTCAATATTCTGAACAATATTTGTCGCATCTGCAGCGTTGCTAAAATATAAAATATTCTTCATGTTGGAAAGATTCATGTACACATATTCCAACTCTTCTTCTGCTGTTATTCTTACAGGCAACAGGACAGTGTTTTTGAGTATAGGAATACATTTACAAAGACGTTCACACCCAAATCACGCACTGTGTAGGGTGGAGGGAAAAATTTATAGGACGTGCGCAGTTACCGTTGCGAAGTTTGTGTGTTATTCTCTGGTATCTTAGAGACTCCTCTACTGCCGCAAAGTTACAATATGAGCAAGTCTTTGGTTTTCGAACTGCTACTGTTTTATGTGACAATTCCACGTAATTCATTCACAGAATATAAAGTAAACTTCTTTGACAGTAACTCGCGATTCGAGTTCTGGAATATCAGACTGTTAAGTACTCCAGGATATTTGATACTTTGGGAAATAAGGTTAAATCTTCGATATTTCTTGCACCGGAATACAGTATATAAACTTGTGGGGAAAATTACCGTCACAAAATTCAAGATAGGTCTAATTCCAGACCAAAGATATATAAATACAAATTTTCGCACCGGTATATAGCCTATAGGCCGATCACAGTGGCCGCGGCTGAGGCATGAACTGTCTTCGCTCGCTCGAACGCTGGGATCGTGGGTTTGAATCCCACTCAAGGCATGGATGTTTATGTGTGCGTTTATTCTGTTTGTATTGTCCTGTGGGTAGGTAGCGGCCTTGCGACGGGATGATCACTTGTCCATGGAGTCCTACCATATGTGTCAAAAGATTACGAAACTGAAGAATTGTTGTAGAGCCATTGATGAATGAATGAATATAGCCTATAGCCCTGTAAAGGAATATCGAAACGACAGACTGTGGTTTATTTCCTGACAGAAACATTACTCTTCTTTTCGTGGAGGAGTTGCAGAATAATTATGAGGCTCAACCAGCTTCCTATGAAACTGGTACTGGGGATCTATCCCCAGTACTAAAGGCGAACTAAACATTAGGCATACTGCTAACCCCATCTAGTTACGGTGTTATGAATGTGGAAACAAATATTGTTGCCCTAAACGTCTTGAAAGTGTGGAATTTAGCGCTGGGATATGTTTATCACGAATGAACAAGATCAGAACAGAAATTTAAGGAGTCAGAACAAAACTGTGTTCAAGTGCCTTACATCTGTCTGCTCACCATCAAAAGGCACGTCTCCAAATGCTGCCTCTCATCATACAAAATTTATATTTCGATTTTTTTTTTTTACATTTTAACAAAATCAATTCTTGTTTCATAAAATTTAATTAAGCTTATCGCTTATGTTCGATATAATTCTTCAAGTGGGAGATCACGAGACACATAATAGTGGCTGCATAATAATATTAAAATATAAATTAAATCAACAGACTATAAATAAATGCAAGTATATATCACTGAAGTAGTACCATACAGTATTATAATATCGCCAATGTGCGTTATTAAAAATCAACTAATTAGTCTGTAAGGTTTATCTAATTCAGATTCCAACTTCGGCCGTGTCATAATACCGATAAATTCTTGATCGGCCGAAGAAGTATCCGCTTACTAAAGCAAACTATTCCATGGGTATTTACTTCGTTTGTTTGTTAAGTAGTACACATCTGTGCTGTACAATGAACCTTCGTGCTTCCTATTAGTAGGGTATGTCTCGGTCAAATGTTTAGATTCTGTGACTCAGGTAAGAACTTTTGCCATGGAGACGCAGTGTTCAAATTTAATGTCCTTTGTGGCCCATATTTATTTGGTCCATACTGTACGTAGGGTACTGCAGTTCGATCTCCAAGAATTATAATATTAATGGAGCAGATAGAGGCAGTAGCTAGCTGTCTGCTGGTGCAACTAAGTAGGGTGTAGAGAGCCCTTTGGCGGTAATGGGCGTAGGGGGTGTAACAGAAGAACCATTTGACAAGGAATATTGAGGGGGGGCTTATGTTGTGTTTAGCCCTAGTTAGCCTTCCTTTTGTCTTGCCCTCGAGCAACGCATCTGTTGCGGTGAACTCTACGCCGACTGTCAATTGCACGTCAAAACACACTTCTCCGAAAACCGCTTCATGTCTGTCCAGCATTACGTTTACTGACTGGATAAGCATACCGTAAGAAACTAACAAGCAATCTTTGTGTGAAAAGAAAGCAGCTTATTGTTCGGAATATCTAGTGCAGTTAATTTAAATTAAAGTAATGAGCTCTAATGACACTCGTCTCGTCTTTACGGGCTTAATAATTACATTGATTTCTGACAAGTCCGCTCTAATCTGTTGTGTTTCCGGCGTACATAAATATGAATTACGTCTCATCATGGTATGCCCATTAAAAATAATGCGAAGTTCAATTCTCAGTGACGTAATGCAAAATGGCGCTTAACATCACAACGTTAATTACATAAAAACAATTCTACACAGCCTGAAATACAAGCATTAGCGTAACTGATCGCGATGGATGAGGTCATTCAGCGAAGACTGTGTTGCCTAAAACGATTCGCAGATTCTCAAACACACACACTTGTATAATTCAACCATTTAAATTAATTATTAATTCGTTTGAATGTTTATTCAGCAGCCGAAAACCAGTTATTAACGTAAATAAGCACGATTAAAGAAAAAAACACACAAAAGATAAAACAATGGAAGTTGTATCATTTCGACAATAACAAAAATTAAGTAAGTGCATTTATGCCAACAGTTATCCGACGAGAAAAATATATACATATATTCATACTGAAGACAATGCTTTAATGCGTAAGGAAGTAAGGTAAGGTCAAGTTGTCCACGTCCATAAGCACTGCGCCATGAAGGCGTATGGGGGGGTGGATGTATAGATCTACATTTTCTTATCTCGGCACTGGTTGGGGGTGAGTGGTCAGCTTCAGGCCCCTGCCGCTTTAACACCCGGAGAAAGAGCCCCCGGTACTCGTTGGATAGGAGGCTGGGTGGACCCCAGAGCCGGTCTGGACGACGTGGAGAAGAGAAAATTCTTGATGCTATCGGGACTCGAACTCCGGCCCCTCTGTCGTCCAGCCGTAACCAGTCGCTATACCGACTGAGCTATCCCGGCTCCAAATAAGTAAGAAAGTACCACTATAAAATATGATTAAGAGAACGAATTTTGGTCCTAAATACTTTGACGTCAATACAACCAACATTAGCAACTGAAGTGCGTCTAGGAGAGGGACAATTCTTGCTTGAAGTGCATACATTGATCACAGAAAAGTCTCTGACATACCGAGCAGGAACTCGAAGACTAACAGCTTCAAAAATAGGACAGAATTAATATTATAACATTAACAATAATAATAATAACGTTGATAAGTATTTCAGCAATACCAACACGATAAAGAACAAAATAGTTTGAACATTTCAGTCTTCCACTGCAATCTTCGTAAAGAATCTCCATAGAGGTGGCAAGTATCTAGAATGACCGCG